AGGTCTATGCCGATTTGTCTGGCCTGGCTGATGATGTTGTGTCGTACCGAATGATGATGTGGCACTGCGCCGCGCACCAATCCAATCTTGTTGCCCAATGGGCAATCTGCCAACAGTCTCCCCCGCGGCGCAACGAATTGGTTGGGACTTGCGTTCGTTTGTTTAAATACATCATGAATTTTTACCACGACGATTTTCATCGAAACCTGGCCTCGCATATCAGTGCATCGCTGCAAGTTGTTGCATTGGAGTCGGCGGACATTCTTGCAGAAAGCCGCACGCTCAAGTTGAGAGAGCTTTATGGGCCGGCAGTGATCCCAGATGATGTAGCGCAAGCTCTGAACCACTGTGTTACGCAACTTGTTCACCGTGAGCATGATCGGCAACGAGACCGCTCTTCTTTGTGTCAGATGGTTGCCCGGATTCTTTGCCAAAGCCTCTTGGTCGTCCATGACAAGCCAGTTACTTCGCGGTTTTTTGTTTTTGCGGAGTCGGTGAATTGTCTCTTGAGAATGAAGCTGCTGAACTTGGGGCCTGATGTGTGGCTTCGGCTTCCTGGCCGCTCTCCTGGCAAGGAAAATTCAAAAAGAATCGATAGGGTCCGCGCCTTCTTTGAGAATGGCGCATCCGATCATGCTTTACGGCAAGCCTCGTTATGTTTGCAGTTGTCTTCCCACGTCATGCATGCTTGCTCTCAGAAGCCAAAGGGCGATGAGACGCCTATGCTTGTGCGGCTAGGCCGTGGCGATGTGCAAAAAAAAGCTGGCAGAGATGTGGCCTCACTTTTGCAGAGACTAGACAATGATCCAGTATTGGACAGGTCTTCTACAGCGATCGCTCTCCTTGGGACTGCAGCTCAAATTATCATGAGATTCGATGTATTCCTTCAGTTTCCAACCAAGATCTATACCCTTTCAAAGCAGCTTGGGTGCAATGCTTTAGTTTCCAGTCTTGGGAGTTTTGAAGGGGTGGATGGGTGTCGGAGGGTGAACCCCCTTACAGCTCCCAATGGCCGCTTCTTGCATGGGCTGCGTGGGTGTCGGAGGGTGAATCCCCTTACGGCCCGTACGTGGGTGCTCCGGGCAGTCCCGATGACAATTTCTTTCACGGGCTGCGTGGGTGTCGGAGGGCGAATCCCCTTACGGCCCGTACGTGGGTGCTCCGGGCAGTCCTGATGGCCGCTTCTTGCATGGGCTGCGTGGGTGTCGGAGGGTGAATCCCCTTACGGCCCGTACGTGGGTGCTCCGGGCAGTCCCGATGACAATTTCTTTCACGGGCTGCGTGGGTGTCGGAGGGTGAACCCCCTTACGGCCCGTATGTGGGTGCTCCGGGCAGTCCCGATGACAATTTCTTTCACGGGCTGCGTGGGTGTCGGAGGGTGAATCCCCTTACGGCCCGTACGTGGGTGCTCCGGGCAGTCCCGATGACAATTTCTTTCACGGGCTGCATGGGTGTCGGAGGGTGAACCCTTTGCTTTGGAGTTTCAGAACACCTTTCCCAAACTAAGGAAATTCAACCCCTCCGGCTTCCGTGCATCGATTCTGGAATTTCTGGAGCTTGACCGCTCGAGCCTTGATCTGGGCTATTCTGCCGCCCTTCAGGCAGAGGCGCTGGCGAGGGGCGGACTGGCGCAGGCAACCGCACATTTACTGACGGATAGTGTGCAGGATGAACTAGACCGCCTCGTTTGCAAAGCTGAAGTAACTTCGATGGACGTGGAGCGAAAACATTTTCATGACAAATGTCAGGAACGTGGCCAAGCTAAGATTAGGTCCTTAGGAAGACTGTCTAGGAATTGCATCTTGCGAAGATACCGGTCCAGAAGGTCATCCGTTTTGAGCAACAAGCGCCGACAGACCAAAAAGTGGAAGAAAGAGCGGTTTATGAACTTGAGAGCAATTGCAGCCTCTCGGCGCCCAGATCTCTTGCCAAGGCCTCGGGGGGCTTTGCATTGGGAAGCAGGCATCAGCGCGCAGAAGAGACGCGCAATAGAGCATCCGGGTGACAGGGAAGCGTTTGATGCTTATGTTGACTTGCATCGCGAAGAGCTCAAACAAGAAGCAGCGCAGCGCAGGGCTGCAGCTGAGGCAGCCCTTACTGCAGCACAAGACATTGGCGTTCCAGTGTCGAACGCTCAATGGCTAATGTGGGTGAACAGCAACACCGACTTCTTTCACCAATGTCTGCGGGGAGCGTCTGAAGATAGAAGGTCTTTGTCGCATAGGGTCTTTGTGGACAATGCGCCTGCGCGCATGGTTTAGCATGTCATTTTAATTTTAGGCGAGCGCCTGCGTGGCTTCTCAATTTGAACAAGCCGTGTCTCTTCAACTTGAACAAATGTTTCATGTTGGTAGGTAGCCCGCTGGTCCCAGGATTCCCTGCCATCAGCTGCACGCATCAACCCGAAGGAGGTCGTGGTGGAGCCGCAGCCCTGGATACAGATCCTCGGTGCTTCGAGTCCAGGCTTCTACTGCTTGGAATTTCCCGGCGGGGCGGCCCATCGGCTTGTGGTTTTCGCTGCTGCGTTGCGCAAGAGAGTGTGGGCAAGTCTCGCCTCGCCGACAGAAGCTCGGAAATTTGCTTTGCATTTGTCAACACCCTTCGACGAAGGCTTTTTACCGTTGCATGTGCTCTTGGGGCAGTTGGGGTTACCCATAGCGAGCCCTGATGTGCATGTTTTTGCCTTGCAGATGAAGGTACTCCAAATCACAAAAAGTGAAATCCTGCTCTATGTGGAAGGTGCTCAACGTGTGGAGCGGCCCCCGCGTGCGCAGCGCGAAACTGGAGGCGCCCAAGAAGAAGAGATTTCTGACGAAGAGAATGACTCGCCACTGATGGAGTCCGACCTTGAGTCTGATCAATGGCTGGCTAGCACCTCAGCGGAGGAACCAGACTTAGAAAGTGAATGCTCAAGTGGCTCCAGCTCCGCCAGCGAACCCGATGATGCTGCCAAGCCACATGTAGAACCGGTGAGGGCTGCTCCAGGCGCTTTTGTGCTTTGGAATAACCCGTACTTCACCATCAGCAATTATGCAGACTCCAAGGCTGCCCATGCAGCAGCCACCTTACGGGCAAGGCTGGCGGACAAGTGGGCCGTCGAGCGCTTGCTGGGTGTGAAAAACAAGTCCAAGACTATTCAAATTAAGGACTTTGATCGGGACGCCAAGAACCCGCAGAACAGTCGCCTGCTACTTCGCTGTTGGATGCTGTACCGAATAAACCAGAATGAGTTCCTAGCGCAGAAGCGTAAGCGCCAGCAATGGTACGACGAAGAGTTAACGCAACTACAGAAGGAATGCCAAGCAATCCGTGGTCATAGTCGGGCAGAGCAGTTGATCCGTCAGTGGCTACCTGCGGCGCTTCCTTAGCCGATCTCGACTGCTGAGCAGCGGTGACGCAAGAGATCAAAAGTAGGGTTTCTTTCTGGAGGTGGGGCGTAAATGCGCGGTAACGCGCCTTAATTTGCGGTAATCAACGCTAATACATGGATATTTCGCATTAACGTGAATAATGCGAGAATTACCGCGAATCAACGCGAATTAACGCCCCTTCGAGCATTGTCCGGTTGCCTTGCCTGAGCGTGCTGTTGATTTGCAGTATAGGGCTTCAGACGTTCTCCTGCAAGCATTGTGCCGTAACACGCGTTAATTTGCGGTAATTAACGCTAATACATGGATATTTCGCATTAACGTGAATAATGCGAGAATTACCGCGAATCAACGCGAATTAACGCCCCTTCGAGCATTGTCCGGTTGCCTTGCCTGAGCGTGCTGTTGATTTGCAGTATAGGGCTTCAGACGTTCTCCTGCAAGCATTGTGCCGTAACACGCATTAATTTGCGGTAAGTAACACTAATACGTGGATATTTCGCATTAACGTGAATGTTGCGAGAATTACCGCGAATCAACGCGAATTAACGCGAATTAACGCCCCTTCGAGCATTGTCCGGTTGCCTTGCCTGAGCGTGCTGTTGATTTGCAGTATAGGGCTTCAGACGTTCTCCTGCAAGCATGTGCGGTACCACGCGTTAATTTGCGGCAATTTACGTTAATACGTGGATATTTCGCATGAACGTGAATAATACGAGAATCACCGCGAATCAACGCGAATTCACGCCCCTTCGAGCATTGTCCGGTCGCCTTGCCTGAGCATGCTGTTGATTTGCAGTAGCAGACGTTCTCCTGCAAGCATGTGCGGCCTTAGTTTCTGCCGCCAATTCTCGGCACAGGGATTCGTTGCGTGTCGCAGTTGCTTTTGTAGGGCTTTGCGCCTTCGGCGCCAATGGCGAAGTTTGATGAGCGGCAGGTGCAGGCAGCAATGAGGGAAGTCACTGCTTCCGGCGACCAGAGAACCAAAGCCATCCGCGCGCTCAGTGACTGGAGCAAGAAGGGGGCAGGCATCGAGGTGTCAGAGAACAACATTCGTTTGTACTTGACTTTGCAGAGGCTCAATCCGAAAGGCAGAGTTTCCCTCAGCCAAATGCAAGCCCAGAAGCAAGTGGCGGTGACGCAGCACTTGCTGAAGATGAAGCTGTGGCTGGTTCCAAAAGTGAACTTCCAGGGTCAGCTGCCCAAGGAGTTTGCTCCCTACTTGGTTGCTGGAGAATCCTTGGCTTCTCTGCCGTGTGATGTGGATATGGACACTGTTTGGATTTTTGACCAAGCGGTTCCCAGAGAGCGCTTGGGCCGGGGAGTCGTGGAGTATGAATCCGCTATGGGGACTTCGACGACGGTCAAGGCTGAGCCGGGCATGCCTTCTGCAGGGGCGACCCCTGACCCTGAGGCCGCGCCTTTGCAGGAAAGCCAGGAAATGACAGAGGAGAAGAGGGCAGAGCCAAGCAGCAAGAAACCCCGGCTGCTCGAGAGGCATGTTTCTGAGTCAGAGGAGCAGACCTTCGACCGCATCGCCACCTGCACGAAGAAGGCAGGAGCAATGGCGGAGATTGTTTGTTGCTAATATCTTTCCAGTTCGAGCGGGGCAAGAGATTGCACTGTTGTAGTATGATAAGGGTGGCGTTAGAAGGAAAGGCCCTGAACTAAGCGCGTAGCTCCGCGTTCAAAACAGTTCCGGTTGTTGGGTGTCTTGCGGGGTACCTTCTGTGAGAATTGTGTCGCAGGCCTTCGAAGCTGGCCGCCTGCTTTCCGATGACAAGGCCAGTCCAGACTTCGCTGAGTTTTGGCTGAGGCACTTCACGCGGCATTGTGAGAAGTACAAGGACCAGGCAGAGATTCCTGACTTCTTGCGCAGCTACGTCGGATTTACAGTGCGCTCCTTGCTTGGGGCCCAGTGCTTGCAAGACTTGCCATCCTTCGCAAAGCTCTTCAAGGCCTTGAAGAATACTCATGCCAAGTTAGTGACTCCACTGGCGTTGGCTCTGATTCAGCTCTCGGACAGCCCGGATACGGAGGAAGAGGTTTGCTTTGACGGCCTGTCGATGTCGCAGCAACACACATTCTTCCAGAGTGCGGTGTACTTGCAGTATGCACAGAAAAAGCTAATGAGGCGTATCGAATGTGTGCAGAAGGATCACAGCAGAAGCCCCGAGATCCGATTGCCCATCATCAAGGACCTTCTCCAACACACCCTTTCAGAGGAGCAACGTGTGTCGCTCGAGTTTGCGCGCACGATGTTGTCTCCTTTGTCAGCAGTGGAACACCTGAGCTACTTGATGGAGGATGTCTCCCGGTTCGACTTGCTGCAGCTGTGGTTTGGGCCTTCGGACCATCGAAGCTGCTTGCAGTGCTTCTGCACGGGCAAGGTCACGTGTGTCTCTTTTGAAGAGTTTAATCGCGCCGCTCAGCTGGCCAGCTGCTGCGCCGAGGCAGTTCCCAACGCTCAAGTGAAGACCTTGCTTCGCGACCTTGCAAAGATGAAGGACCGTCAGTCGGTTTGCGCAGGCGACTAGCCGTAACGTACGATGCTTTTGTTATGATTGATTGTAGGCTTTTTCAAAAAAGAAGGGTGCAAAATGAACGGGCCTTTCCAGCAGGAGATCTCTCCTTCCCTGGCACCCGTGTTGTTCGCTGAGCTGGTGGACGTTAAGTTGGGGTTGCCTCACGGGGAAGTGGGCAATGCTGCAGCCATAGAAGAGATGGCGGAGAAGGATCTGCGAGGCAAGGCGCGTATGTTGTGCTACGGTTTTGAAGCATATTAAAGCTTGTTTTTGTTTGCTCTGCGATGCACCAGTAATTGCCTTGCTTGGAAGATGCGTTTGTATTTGCGCGCAGTTAGAGGAGCCCCCTATAATTTCTCATTTCTATACTAAAAAGGAACCACCGCTGAGTAATACAGTCCTCCGCATGAATATGAGGGTGGCAATTCCGTCGCTTGTTAGGAATGGGAACCCCTAAAATGGAGTACCGGTTTTCCTTTTGGTTTTCCTGTTTTTTTAAACCTACTAAATCACCTTCAGGAAATTTAGTTACACGTAGCAGCCCATAGGTTGAACGGCGGCCTGCAGTTGTACATTGGGTGGTAGCCCTTTCTTAGGTCTCACAGCTTGGGAAGGGGTGGGGTAGGGTAATAAGACCTTATGCAGTTCTTCCGGCCTCCCTTGAATTTCTGGGCTGGGGTAGTAAACCCCATGCAAAACGTGCTTCTGGCGGCCCTGGGGTTTTCGGGATGGTGTGTGTGTGTGGGTGTGGGTGTGCGTGCGTGCGTGTGGGTGTGCGTGTGCGTGTGCGTGTGCGTGTGCGTGTGCGTGTGCGTGCGTGGGCGCGTGGTTAAGTGCGTGGGCGCGTGGGTGCGTGTTTAAGTGCGTGCGTGCGTGCGTGGTTGCGCGGCTGCGTGGTTGGGTAGGTGCTCGATTGGTAAGATTATAGAGGTTTTGTAATTTGATTATAATTATACGGACTGTAACATGTTATTTCTACGAATTTGTCTCTAATGAGAGCTGCTCTGTCCTTATTGGTACTAACATAGCTTGGGTGACTTAAGATGGCTTTTATTCCGGCAGGCTTGTTGAAAATTGCGATGGGCGCTGTGCGAAAGATCCCCGAGGGCAAGCAAGCAGCCGTGCCCTTGCTCACGGCCTTGCTCGCAAAAGCGGAGCTGCTGCTGCCGGACAAGGAAAAGGAGAAGGAAAAGGATTTGGAGAAAGACAAAGACAGTGACAAAGACAAGGGATCGAAGGAGCCCGTCAAGCCTTTTTCTGAGCGGCTGAAGGCTGAGGAAGATGCATTTTATGTTGATCAAATTGTTGTGTTGTCAGCCAAAAAAGGAAAGGCCCGTTTCGATGGCAAGCGGTGCCGAGTGATACGTGTGCTCGCAGGGAAATTGAAAGTGGAAATTTGCGAAGGACCTGCGTCAGGAGAAGAGAAAACTGTGCTCAAAAGCGCAATGACCATCCCTCAAGATAGTCAGCCATCTGCCCCTGTAAAGGCTAGCTCTACTCCACAGGCCGAGACCGCAAAGCGTCTCTTTGGCGATGTCGATCCAGATGACTAATTGTAACAGGTGCGACCGCTTCGGGAAAAGCGTGCTTCCTCCGTCTTATGTATGTTGAAGGTTGTTTCCACGAAGATCTGGCATTGGCTAATTTCCGAAGTTGTTTGCCAAATGACATGTCTCGAGTTCCTGACGGTGTGGAGTTCTCACTTACGTGTACGCCATATTAGACAACAACACGCTAACCCACGCTAACGAGGTATTAACGTTCGCTCAATAGGCTCCCATATAATCAAACCGAACTATAACCATCATCGTACATCCTCTGCATCACCAACAATCATGATGATAATCATAACTACGCGCCCGCTGCATCTCTAATCGGCTCTAACGCCACCTTTGAAACGTACATAAAAAAGATAAGGACGACAACGATTATGATGTGATATAATGATAAGCGTGTCATCATCATCATCGTCGTCATCATCAGCATCATCATCGTCATCATCATCGTCATCACCGTTGTCATTATCGATGAAAACCATAATCGTCCATCCTCTGCATCACCAACAGTCATGAAAACGTATATAAAAAAGATAAGGATGACAACGATTTTGATGTGACATAATGACAAGCGTGTCATCATCATCATCGTCATCATCATCAGCATCATCCTCGTCATCGTCATCGTCATCATCACCGTTGTCATCATCGATGATAACCATCATCGTGCATCCTCTGCATCACCAACAGTCATGATGATAATCATATCTACGCATCCTCTGCATGTCCAATCAGATGATGATGTGATAACGATGAGCATGTCATCATCACCATGATGGTGGTCATTATCGTCATCATCATCATCATCGTCGTCATCACCGTCATCCTCACCGTTGTCATCATGGACGATAACCATCATCGTGCATCCTCTGCATCACCAATAGTCATGATGATAATCATGACTACGCACCCGCTGCATCTCCAATCGGCTCTAACGCTACCTTTGAAACGTATATAAAGATAAGGACGACAACAATTCTGATATGATATAATGACAAGAACCATCATTGTGCATCCTCTGCATCACCAACAGTCATGATGATAATCATGACTACGTACCCGCTGCATCTCCAATCGCTTCTAACGCCACCTTTGAAACGTATATAAAAAAGATAAACACGACAAAGCGTGTCATCATCATCCTCGTCGTCATCATCAACATCATCCTCGTTATCGTCATCGTCATCATCACTAACCATCATCGTGCATCCTCTGCATCACCAGCAGTCATCATGATAATCATGTCTACGCATCCTCTACATCTCCAATCAGGTCACAACGATGATGTGATGATGATGAGCATGTCATCATCATCATGATGGTGGTCATTATCGTTATCATCATCATCATCATCGTCATCACCGTCATCATCACCGTTGTCATCATAGATGATAACCATTCTCGTGCATCCTCTATATCATCAACATTCATGATGATATTCATGACTACGCACCCGCTGCATCTCCAATCGACTCTAACGCCACCTTTGAAACGTGTATAAAAAAGATAAGGACAACAACGATTATGATGCGATATATGACAAACGTGTCAGCATCATCATCATCGTCGTCATCATCAGCATCATCCTCGTCATCGTCATCGTCATCATCACCGTTGTCATCATCGATGATAACCATCATCGTGCATCCTCTACATCACCAGCAATCATCATGATATTCATGTCTACGCATCCTCTACATCTCCAATCAGGTCACAACGATCAATCGGCTCTAACGCTACCTTAGAAACGTATATAAAAAAGATAAGGACGTTAACGATTATGATGTGATATGACAAGCGTGTCATCATCATCATCATCATCATCATCATCATCATCGTCATCGTCATCTCCTCGTCATCGTCATCGTCAGCATCACCGTTGTCATCATCGATGATAACCATCATCGTGCATCCTCTGCATCACCAACAGTCATGATGATAATCATGACTACGCACCCGCTGCATCTCCAATCGGCTCTAACGCCACCTTTGAAGCGTATATCCGCCGACCCCCCTGCTTGCAAGGGGAAGGCGCTGGGGGAGTGTTCGTTTAGCGTTGGAGCGTGACTGTGGCAGCTTTCTCCCTTCCCTTACGAGCCTTCTTTCTTTCCCTTTTTTCTTATTCTTCTTCGTTTCTTTTCTTTCCTTTTCCTTTTTGCTGCCGGCGCACTCCTTTGGTTGGTGCTCGCTGTGGACAAACGAGTGCGGCCTGGAAAAGCGCGGGAAGCGAAGCTTTTGTGGCTGGCCGCTCCCTCTGGACCGATAGCCTTACTATATATTGGATTCAAACGCGACGTTAGGCACCCGGCCGCGGCGGAGCAGGCTGCCGGCGCACTCCTTTGGTTCGTGCTCGCTGTGGCGAAGCGAGCGCGGCCTCAAGCGCGCTGGACGCGAAGCTGTTCTTGCTGGTTGTGTCCTGGGGACCGATAGCTTTCTACTTTCTATCTAGGATTCAAAAGTAACGTTCGGCACCCGGCCGCGGCGGAGCAGCCGCCCTTGGCAAGACGCACAGTAAACCCAAAGGGAGAAAGACTAGGAATAGGCAAACTGTGACAGACGCAGGCGCACATGGGCATCGGCAGGCCGGGGATTGAATCCGGCATGCTGAGCGGGTGTGATGCCACTACACCAACTGCCCCTGAGCTGAGGAGGCCGAGAGTGCTCAACTACCTGCTGGGCACAGCTTTCAGCGCTGAAGCTCTGTCACGGCCAGCGCGTTCGGCCTTTTCCTATCTGCTGCCGGCGCACTCCTTTGGTTGGTGCTCGCTCTTAAGCACCTGCAGGGCACAATTTTCAGCGCACGGCCCGCCCGTCCGGCCTTTTTTCTTCCTTTCTGCTGCCGGCGCACTCCTTTGGTTGGTGTTCGCTGTGGGCAAACGAGTGCGGGCCCGCCCGTTCGGCCTCTTTTCTTCCTTTCTGCTGCCGGCGCATTTTCTTTCCTTTTCCTCTGCTGCCGGCGCACTCCTTTGGTTGGTGCTCGCTGTGGACAAACGAGTGCGGCCTGGAAAAGCGCGGGAAGCGAAGCTTTTGTGACTGGCCGCTCCCTCTAGACCGATAGCCTTACTGCATATTCGACTCAAACGCGACGTCAGGCACCCGGCCGCGGCGGAGCAGGCTGCCGGCGCACTCCTTTGGTTCGTGCTCGCTGCGGCGAAGCGAGCGCGGCCTCCAAGCGCGCTGGACGCGAAACTGTTCTTGCTGGCTACGCCCTAGGGACCGATGGCTTTCTACTTTCTATATAGGATTCAAAAGTGACGTTCGGCACCCGGCCGCGGCGGAGCAGCCGCCCTTGGCAAGACGCACAGCAAACCCAAAGGGAGAAAGACCAGGGGTAGGCAAACTGTGACAGACGCAAGCGCACATGGGCCGGGGATTGAACCCGGCCCCTCTCGCATGCTGAGCGGGCGTGAGCGGCACTGGGCGGCAGCCCTTAAATACAAAATATACGGACGACAACGATTATGATGTGATATAATGACATCATCATCATCATCATCATCATCGTCATCTCCTCGTCATCATCTCATCACCGATGATATCCATCATCGTGCATCCTCTGCATCACCAACAGTCAGGAGGAAATCATGTCTACGCATCGTCTGCATCTCCAATCAGGTCACAACGATGATAAGATGATGATGAGCATGTCATCATCACCATGATGGTGGTCATTATCGTCATCATCATCATCATCATCATCATCATCGTCATCACCGTCATCATTACCGTTGTCATCATGGACGATAACCATTATCGTGCATCCTCTGCGTCACCAACAATCATGATGATAATCATCACTACGTACCCGCTGCATCTCCAATCGGCTCTAACGCTACCTTTTCAAACGTATATAAAAAAGATAAGGACGACAACGATTATGATGTGATTATAATGACAAGCGTGTCATCATCATCATCATTATCGTCATCTCCTCGTCATCGTTATAGTTATCATCACCGTTGTCATCATCGATGATAACCATCATCGTGCATCCTCTGCATCTAACAATCAGGAGGAAATCATGTCTATGCATCCTCTGCATTTCCAATCAGGTCACAACGATGATGATGTGATAATGATGAGCATGTCATCATCACCATGATGGTGGTCATCATCGTCATCATCATCATCATTATCGTCATCACCGTCATCATCACCGTTGTCATCATGGATGATAACCATCATCGTGCATCCTCTGTATCACCAACATTCATGATGATATTCATGACTACGTACCCGCTGCATCTCCAATCGGCTCTAACGCCACGATTGAAACGTATATAAAAAAGATAAGGACGACAACGATTATGATGTGATATAATGACAAACGTGTCAGCATCATCATCATCGTCGTCATCATTAGCATCATCCTCGTCATCGTCATCGTCATTATCACCGTTGTCATCATCGATGAGAACCATCATCGTGCATCCTCTGCATTACCAGCAGTCATCATGATATTCATGTCTACGCATCCTCTACATCTCCAATCAAGTCACAACGATCAATCGGCTCTAACGCTACCTTAGAAACGTAGATAAAAAAGATAAGGACGACAACGATTATGATGTGATATGACAAGCGTGTCATCATCATCATCAGCATCGTCATCTCCTCGTCATCGTCTTCGTCCTCGTCATCGTCATCATCACCGTCATTATCGATGATAACCATCATCGTGCATCCTCTACATCACCAACAATCAGGAGGAAATCATGTTTACGCATCCTCTGCATCTCCAATCAGGTCACAATGATGATGTGATGATGATGAGCATGTCATCATCACCATGATGGTGGTCATTATCGTCATCATCATCATCATCGTCATCACCGTTATCATCACCGTTGTCATCATGGACGATAACCATTATCGTGCATCCTCTGCATCACCAACATTCATGATGATAATCATCACTACGTACCCGCTGCATCTCCAATCGGCTCTAACGCCACCTTTGAAACGTATATAAAAAAGATAAGGACGACAACGATTAT